TGTGAGGTTTAAATGAGATGATAGATGCAGAGCAACTAGATGAATGTTTGTGCTTGGTGAGAATGGGCTATGTTGCTACCATCATGATTATGCTAATAATGTGAGAGAAAATGGATTTGTAAGATGTATTTTTATATATTTTTTAAAAGTATAAAGCCCTTATTGTTTACATTTGTTGAAAATGCTTTTCCAATATTTTATTTCTCTTACTTTTTGATACAATTTTTGTAAAAATGTCTAATATTTCACAATTGATGTGTTATCATCTATGATTTCTTTCATTTATTTTATACTTGGAAATTATGCCCTATTCTCAAAATAATTTAAATACTTAATGTTATTGTATTTTTTTAATAATTGTTTTCCCATCTATATAATAAAAGCCTAAGTGGCCCTTACAGTGGAACAACCAGAATGACCTATGATGACCTATGTCGCTATAATGCAGACTGACCACCAGGGGGCAGACGCTCAACACAGGAGCTGCCCCCTGGTGGTCAGTGCGCTCCCACAGGGAGAGCGCTGCTCAGCCAGAAGCCAGGCTCACGGCTGGTTAGTGCAGTGGTGGTGGCGGGAGCCTCTCTTGCTTCTGCAGCAGTGCTAAGGAGCAGTGAGCTGAGCAGTAAGGAGCCTGCTGCTAAGGATCAGCAAGCCGAGTGGTAAGGAGCGAGCAGGCGGGCAGTAAGGAGCAAGGGCTTCCAGACTGAGAGAGGGATGTCCGACTGCCGGCTTAGGACCAATCCCTGATAGGGCCTAAGCCGGCAGGCAGACATCCCCCAAGGGGTCCCGGACTGCAAAAGGGTGCAGGCTGGGCTGAGGGACCGCCCCCTCCAGTGCAGGAATTTTGTGCACCGGATCTCTAGTATATCTATAAAACATATGGAATTTGAAATTGATGGATATGTGAGATGAGGATCAAGTGATATTTATTTCTCCCCATATTTTTAGACACATTCTCCAATATCATTTGATGAATATTATCTTTCCTGCATTGACTTTTAAAGCTGTTTCTACTGTTATCACATATTAAGTTCTATATATAGTATTTAAGGTTCTAGAACATTCTGTTATGTTCTATTGATACAGCTGTCTAGTCTTAAAACATTATAATTTTGTCTTCATGATTGTAGTATTACATATACCATTTTGGGCAAACTCACTCTCGTTTCTCTTTTTAAACATAACTCTTAGCTATTTCACTCATCTTTCTCTTCTGACTAACTTTTCAAGCATTTCCTTAATATAAAAATCCACCATTATCATGATAAGCTTACATGGAAATTTAGGAAGATCTGGCATCCTTATTTATTCATTTCATCTGGGCACTTAAAATCTATCTTAATTTTGTAAAAAAATATATATATATTTTTAGTTTCTGTAAACCTCTGAACTTTTATTTCCTCAAATCACACTATTTTATTAAAGCTACTCAGGAGTATATTTTAACATGAGTATATTCAAATTTTTCCCCATTATGGCTTTTAAATGGATGTTGCTACTATCTAGAAAAGTTATTGATTTTATTCTTAATTACATTTGGCTAATTCACTATGCTTTTATTAGTTCTAGTAGTTTTTCCAGCTTTTTCTTTAGTTTTACACTATATAGTTGATCATTTAAAATAATAATAGTTGATCATTTAAAATAATAATTTTATATCATTTCCCTAGGATTCTTTATTTTTCTGATTCTTGTTTTACTTTATTGACCAAGATGTCCAGAAAAATAATAAATATTAATGTCACAAATGGATATCCTTGTCCTTTTCTTTACATTAATTGTAATGCTTCCGATATTTCCCATGAAGTGAGGCAAAGTCAGTTTTCTCCCCATGGAGGTACTTAGAGATTGTCCTAATTACCCTCTCCAAATATCTTCACTAGAATTATTAGGGAAAAGGGTGCATGTCAATAGCCCAAAAATATACCAGACACCTTTTCTGCCATTGGGAGTCATGGCATTTGGGTTTCAGTGCTCATTCCAACACTTACTGGGCAGACCATTTGCACAAATACCTACAGTTTTTATATATTGCTCTTTAAAATGCAGGCAGTACTATTTGGAGACTGTGTTGGAGATTTATAAGACTGTTATTGGAGACTTAACCAGATATGGGAAAAATACCTCAGGCAGGACCTGGTGGACAGTAGTCATTGGACATGGAAGGCATCCCATCCATATTACTTTTATTCTGCAAAATATGGATTGGAAACCTGCAGAATGAATTTTAATAAGAAAGGCCAAACCTTGCTGATGACTTCTATGGACTTCAATTTCTTCCTGTATTTATGTGCAAATTTTCCTGGTTGGGAAAATTCTGAAAATTTAGTGACTGTCTAATCACAGCCACGAGAGAACCCATTTCCAAGATTCTGTGGCAGAGAGGATGTGGAGGGGACCCGCCCTAGTCAGCCTGCTGCAGAAGGACAGGGGGAAGCCGCTGGCCGCCTGGGTCGCAGCTGCATTTTCCTCTGTGGCCCCCCAGGGAGAGAGTGCTGCGTGTTTTTGCAGTTGCACTGCACTGTTCTACCACAGGGATTCATAGTTAACATTTTTCTTCCAGGCACATTTAAAACGTTTGGCTCGCGTCCTTCTTGAGCTGTTTTATAAGGGCAATAACTGAGGCCAGGGTGTGCTCTTGTCAGCAAGCAAAGCACGCAGCCCAGGCTGCCAAAGAGTTTCCTGCTCGGGGGCCACCCATCCTTGGCTGCAGGACGCATGGCTGGAGCTCATGGCAACTTGCACAGAGCGAGCACTGGGACTTTCTGTTCTCGGGGCTCATGCTTTGGATTCCATCCTTCAGTCCTGCTGCATAGATCAGTGGAGGCTGTTGTGTTTGCGCTTGTTTGGGACCAGCTAAGAACACATGTCACAGCAGCGGTTCAAAGCCCAGCTCTAGGGCTGAGAGCTGGGAAAACGCTCTTTAAGGACTAGCAAGCTGCGCTTCCCTCCTCCTAATGCAGGCAGAGTTCCCACGAATCAGCTGCCCGGGAGGGAGGCCTTCCCTTCGTCCCACTCTCTGTGAATTAACTTCTGGAACGGGCGGACAACACAGGCGCCAAACCAGGTTCCGACGCTGCTACCCAGCCCTCTTTGAAGTCCACCTTGGCAGGAGCTGATCTCTTTTCATGTATTACTAGTATTTATCGCCAAGGACTGTGCCGGGAGAATCCACGGCAGATCCCGGAAGCTGTGTTTTCAGGATTTCCTTTGATTGGAAGCTGTTGGCTGTGCCTTCTGCAGCTGGCTCTGTCACAGAGCAGAGGGCTCAGCGTGTCGCCCGAGTGGCAGCTGCCAGGCCAGCACAAAGGAGGTTCTGCCTGTGAAAGTGCCTTGTCACTAAATAACAACGCAAGGGGACAGGGTGTTGTTATCCCTTCACTCGCCAGTAGGGAGGCAATGTGATGTCATGAGTGGAGAGAACACAGCCTCAAGCCCAGGAGACACAAGTTGAAATGTCAGCTCTTCCACTGACTCAGACGGCGATCTTGACCTCAGTTTTCCCATTTCAATGAAAAAGATACACTCTCCAACTTTTAGCAAAGAATCAATAATGTAAGATACGTACAGTGTTCAGCTCCTTTCCTCCAAATTCCAAAGTTAGTCTAGAAATTGTAAAGCTGTCTGCATGAGGACTAGTGAATACTCTGCCGTTATCTTCTTTATTCATTATTCACTCAGTAAGCATTCAATTAAAAAAAAAAGAACACTTCAGTATCTTAGGTGCTAGATACCAGGAATAAAGAAATACACGTTTAAAAAAAGAGAGAGAGAAAGAAATACATGTTCAATTCATGGCTTCATCCCTTGTCTATTTAAAAAATAAAAAAAAAGAAATGATAAAATATAAAGGATGTTATGGTGCAGAAGGTTCAGGAAGTAAGGGGTGTACCAGGTTATTTATACCAGTTTATGGAATGGCAGGTCTTCCAGAAGTAGGGACCTTCAACAAGGGGGTGCCAGTACACAGAGCATAAATTCCTGGAATTTAGAGAATATGACCTTTTGCAATGTGATGAGAGTGACTTGCCCATGGTGATAGGCAGTCCATGGGCTGCTATGGGGAGAGTAAAAATGTCGTCTGTCAAAGAATGCAGCTTGTAAGAGTCTGTGACTGAGTTCAGCCAGGTCTTCCTCAGCAGGACTACCTTTGTCAGCGGGAGCAAGGACAGGCTCACCCTGAAGCCAGGATTGGGATTGGATGATGGAAGGATCCATTTTTGCCTTCTTATCCTACCTCAGTCAGAACTACTTCTGCTACTTCTTAACTCTTTTGTTATTGCTTTTCCCTAACCTTTTGGTGAGCAAAGCGTTCTAGGCTAGGAAAGACTTCTCAAACCACTGCAGCACACCATATCCTCTAGCAAAACATTTCTTGGAAAATGAGTTTCATTGCTGATGACAGGGAGTGCACTGTGATTTGCAGAATGTCCTCTTCTTCTGTGCCTTCCCCTCCATTATCTGAGGATCTCTGTTCTCTCAGGAGACCATGAGCTCCTTGAGAGCAGGGACTTTGGCTAGTCATTGTTTTACCTCAAGTGCTTAGTGGAATACTGGGCAGACAGTTGTCACTCATTACTACACAACACTGCCGCCCAAATGATCATTTTAATGTACTACTTGTCCAGTGCTACTTAAAATTCTTTTTTTAAAGAATAGCTTATTGATTTTTAGAGAGAGAAGAAGGGAGAGGGAGAGAGAGAAACATCCATGTGAGAGTGCAACATCGATTGGTTGCCTTCTGCAATGGGGAATGAGCCTACGACCTGGGCATGTGACCTTACCTAGGAATTGAACCAGCAACCTCCTGGTACATGGGGTGTTGCCCAACTAACTGAGCTACACTAGACAGGGCTTAATATTCTTCAGTGAAATCATATTAAGGGTCAGGCACTGGGTGTGGTGATAATGAAGGCATATCAAACATAGCATAAGAGAAATAAGAAGGACTATCTCCTTTTCTTATAATAGAATTTGGAGTTTAATTCCAAAGGAATTTATCAGACAACCAAAGTATGGGCGGAATGTGCCAGGAAGAGGACTAGAGATGAATGATGGACAACAAACATAAGCAGGTCATTGATTGGTCTTCTGCTGTCGGGCTTCCAGGACTTAGGCAATTTCATCATAGGTTTCCTGAAAAATATTCCGAGGGGATAAAGATGTTTGGATATTAATCTTCCTTGTAGTAAGTCACTCTCTTAAAAGGCTCTGCTGGGGCCAGAACAATACCAGAATGTCCACTTCAATAGTGCCCTTTACGAGGAAAACTCTCAGTGACACAGAATGGCCAGAATGACCAAACCAGATGGAAAAAAGTGAAATTGTCGAGGTCACATTTTATGGATGGGAAAACAAACTCAAAGAGAGGAAGTGAGGTGACTAAACTTTGAGAGGTTAGTATCTGGAGCCAGGACCCAGGTTCTCAGATGCCTTGCTCAGTGCCTTTTGTACTAAGACCATGTCTAATTGAAGGCCAAGAAGACATGCTCAGTCTAATTCACTCTTTAATTAGGAAAAGAAGATAACATTTATTAAATTCCTACTTTATGCCAACCATGGTATCAAACATTTTACACACATTCTCATTGATCATCACAGTAATGTAGTAGATAGAATCGTGCAGTTTGTTGTCCATGGTTCATGAACTATGCATGGTGTCAAGCATAGCAATTGGCATTTAATCTTCTGACTCGTAGAAGCATGAAATTATATTGGGGCAAATACAATTAAATCCCTTTTGGGTAGCTATTCATCTTGATATCTAATTTCTCTGGATTTGAATTGCAAGTACAATATTCATGAATATGAATCTTAATTACTTGAGATTGAATCAAATAACCTGTCTGCAAAAATTATGCTCTTCATATTTATAATAGATACAATTATTACCATTCATGTTTCTTCACTGATCAACCAAATGAGAAAATGAACTACAAATTTATAGTATATGTGTATGTATGCACGTTGTGTGTGTTTTCTGATCAATATTATCCATCAAATTGAACGCTTAGTTTTGGAAGCCATCCTGAATACCACAGGAAGTGATTTTGAAAATTAATTTTTTGCGTGATCATTATTTGTCAGTAGTGGATTTGTTCACATGAATGCCATATCTTATAAATGAGCGTTAGTCAGAGCTGGATGGATATGGAGGAAATGGGTAGCCTGATTATTTTCAGTATCTGTGGGTATGAGGTGTTGAAGAGTGAGAGAGTAAATATGTACAGGACCATGTTTACGAAAAAAAAAAAGTAGCAAGTCAAATAAAAGGAAAAATTTCTCCTGTGCTAGATGGCCAAGGTGAGGTCAGTATCAATATTGGCATTGGCACTGCCAAGTCCATGTTTTGCAAGATGATAATTTGATCAAGATGTATTGGCGACAAAAGGCTTATCAAACATAGAATGTTTTATTACACCAATTGATTTGTTTGACCAAAGTGACACCCATTTCTTTCACAAAGCTACTGCAAAATTTGTATCCGGCCTTACAAAATTTTATGTTAACAGCAAAGATTGGAGGCACAAATTTATTGAACATTTGAAATGTTAGTTTCTCATCATTAAAAAAAAAAGTGTTTCTTTTTTCAGAAAACAGAATGTTTCTTTGTACCCCACAGAAGAAAATGTATAATAAAGTTACATGTATAATCTGGGGGTTTAAACATACACTTATTGAATCTGACAATATTTTATACACTGAGAAGAGTAAAGATATTCTTCTCCCCTTTATAGTTTGTTAAACTGGGATATAGTGATTGTGAATTGCATATAAACCTTTTCTATGACTTGAGGCAACTGTAGCAGGCAACAGTCCAGTAAAGCCATCCAACCTAAAACCTAGAGTTCTGAGAGACCAGCTCAGTAGAACATTGCATATGTGATTTATCCTTTCATTACTTATTTAGTTTATTTATTCATTCAATTTCTGCCAGATTTTCAATAGAAATTTTGCTGCCTTTGGAGAAGACAAAAAAAAATTGAATAATCTTAACTGAAATTTATTCACAGGCAGTTTCTACAGATGAGGAGCAAACTGAGCTGATTCTTTCGTTAGTTAAGGCCAAAAAAAGGAAACAGAATGTAACCTCACTGTCACTATCAGAATAAGAGGAAGTGTATCTTTTCATAGGTTGTGACAAAGTTTTCCCAAGCAGTAAAGCAAAACAGAAATTCATCCACTGCTATGTGTACACACACACACACACACACACACACACACGCACGTGCACTGCACTTATATAACAGTCATTATCATCAACAAAACCATCAAACCAACCGTGATACAAATGGAAAGAACAATGCAGTGGGGGTCACTTGTAGTTCATTCCCACGCCTTATAATTAGGGAAATACTCTGATTAAAGGAAATCACACTCCCTAAATGAATTTCTCTTCCAGGAAGAGTGTCTCTGTGTAGGAGAAGTTTCCAAACATATTTAGATGTGACTGATACAATGTGAAGTGCATGTTCAACCATATTCAATGCTCTAAGTGCATACACCCCCCAGCAACCCGATTTGCCGGGCTCCTAATCATGTAGAAGGAGCCATAACTGCTTCCTTGGAGATGCCAACCATTTGTTGAAATGTGAAATCTGGGCCACACCAGTCAGCTTCAATGCTTCCTCTTAACTGTTTGGAGATGGCTGTCCTAGTGGCAGCTCCAGATTTCTGTGTGGAGAGAGCGTTCTGCCTGCTGAAGAAGCAGGAGGACCTGTATTGCTCCCTCTCTTCCCCAAGCATGCTGTTCTGATGACCTCTGTGCATTTACTTGTGTTAACCTGGAGGCAAAGGTGTTACAGAGATTATTGGACTGGTCTTTAGCCATTGCCACCCCCAGCCATCCCTGTGATGCTATCACTGTTTATCGAGAGGGTTTGGAAATACTCAGGCGGGGCCCATGGGTTTATGCGCCCACTGGTATATGAGCAAACAGGTTCAGATAACTCTACTCCCAACTCCCTGCTACTCAGCTGAAGAGAAAACCTAGAAAGGAACCTCTGCCAAAAGCTACTGTGGGGACAATATCCCTATAAACCCATTTTGTGTCCTCAGGAAAGAAATGGCTCAAGGATTCAAGGGACCTGGGTTGAAAAACCATTGATTGATTAGGGAAACGGAATGGATGGGTTGGCAAGTAAGGTCCTCATGACTCCCATGTGACTCTCAGAGACATTAGCATGTCAAGTCCAGGTTGAGTACAGTGTAACCAGTGTATCATTGGGGATGGGGAGGAAGAGCTAATCCGATCTCTGGCATTTGGGCGATGGAGCATCGTCTTCTTGAGCCTGCTGCCCATTGCAATTTTCACTAAATAAGCTGTTTTGAGTCTCTGAGCTGGGTGGCATAATTCCAGAGAGATTCGTTCTCATCTCCAAATACCTTCCCCCATAGAAATGCTGAAATCCACAAGCATAATATTGACAATCACCGTCTTTTACATTTGTCTTGCTTGGCAAGTATACAAGGAACCTTGACATTTGTTTCTCACAGCATCCCTGAAAGGCCTGTGTTAAAAGCCTATTTGACAGCAAACAAAACTGTGGTTCGAGTAGGTGACATGTTTGCTTTCCGTTGTACAGCTAGTGAGTTGCTGTTGCCCTGGGAGAGCTGTCACGCCCCTACTTAGAAGGGGGTGCTTTAAGGTGGGCAAAATTCAAAGGTAGCATTGGGTCCCAGTGCTTGAGAGTAGGACTTTCTCTGTGAAGGAGCAAAGGGATTCAAGTCAAGGCCAGAAAGGGGAGGGAAGGCAAGAAGAGGCCCAGAGAGCCTGCCGCTCTGGGAAGCGGTCCAGCCATCTGTCTTGGCTCACTCTCGACTTTCTCCTTGTCTCTGTTACTGCCTGCTTCTCCTCAACCTTCATTAACAGAATTAGATGCTCTTGCTGTCCTGCCTTAGGTCTGGGGCAGTAGACCAAGGGTTTGGGGAAAACTCTTTGTACTTGGACTGAGTAGCTTTTTCTCCCTGGCCTGGCTTTCTCTCTGCATCAGAGTGGTTAGATTCGGGGAGCTAAGGTACTGGCTTAGCCAGTAATGTGCTGGTAGAAGTTTAATAACAACAAAAGGAAAAAACCAGAAAAGAAAAGGAAGTCCAGATTTGTAGCATTTGCCAAATTCTGTGGCATAAATCCTTCCACCATCTCCCATTTCAAGTAAAATTCCTGAAAATGTAGCTATTGGCTCTCACCGTCTAGTACCAGCTTCTGCCGCACATGACTGGCTGGGAGAATGTCCAGCGAGAAGAGGCAGACAGCTTATCTCTAGCCAGGCATAGGCCTCTTCCACACCACTCCGTCTGGCTCACCGAGACCTCATGGCTAGAACCAAGCTGCGCGGGTACAAAGACAGCACATGCACTGGGCTCTATCCGTGGTACATTCATTTCTCTTAAAGGCTGCAAGGGGGGCTATGGGTGACAGGTCAAAATAGGATTCCCGAGTTCTCTAGTATTCTTATATTCATCTCTCAACAAACTGTGTGTGTGTGCACATATGCCTACAAACATAAAAACTCCCTATTGTATTAACAAAATGTGTAAGTTCACACCTAAGTTGTGCAAATGTTAGGAGATGGGGCTTTATCATGAAATAGATGTAAATTTGATTCATAGCTCTTTCACTTAGACAAGGTGCTTAAACTCTAAGGGTCCGTTTTCTTATCTGTAAATTTGGGGTATTAGTAAGTACCTGATAAGGATGGCTTCGAGATTAAATAAAATAACATTGGTTTAAAACTTAGCATCTGATAAGTGGTATGTGCCGTATCGATAGTCCCCATACCCACCTCGATTAATTCTCAGCTGCTCGCACCATCTTCCCAGCCTGTCCTCCGTGGACACGTCAGGAATAGGCTGCAAAGTACATGAAGGCCCAGTGACATTTATTTGGTTCCTGTTTGAACTAGGTGATAGGGATGTTGATAATCTTGTACATTTTTTATTTAAATAATTTCCCCACATGTTCAAATAATATACTTGTCACCCCTTTCAGGCCTGGGAACAGATCTTATCGGCTTTGCCACAAAATGGTACCTGCCTGAGTAAACACATATGCAGAATGGAGAGGCACAGCCTTTGCTCAGCATGTGTAACCTAATTCTCAAAGGCAAACAGACAATATGGCCACCAGGCTTAGGCTTCCAAAGCAATTTTAATCACAAAAGCAATGATTTATACACCTCTAAGACACAAATAAAAGATTGTTACATTGTCCCAGGGGCTCCCTTAAATCCTTGAAGAAAGAGCAAGAATATTGGTGAATACGAATATTTAGAAATTAAAATAGTCCGTAAGAGCCCAGAGTAGAGGTTAATGTCTTACCTTTTCCATACTGTCCTACATTGGTGTGTGTGTGTGTGTGTGTGTGTGTGTGTGTGTGTGTGTGTGTGTTTAAATAACTACAGTTTGCATTTTGTCAGTGTGATTCACAAGAGTAGCTTCAAGAATCAAATAATTCGAGTTGCAAATATGTACACTTATTCTTTAGCTCATTGTTTTCATATTAACCTCCATATCCACTAGTAAATATCATGCTTATGATGCTACTTGTTCATTTTTAGTTTAGGAATTATAACAACTTCCCAATATGGGAAATGAAAATTTAGCTCTATTTTACCCTCTGCCCCACTTAATCCTGGCACATTTTGGTTCCTCCCTTTTTAGCCAAAGATAACTGTACTTTAATTGTGGTTCAATCAATTTTTAGCATTTTCATTAAAATGATTATATAAATGCTATTCAAAGTTGATCCATGTTGTAGATTTCTTTTCCTGGACAATCTTTTGGTTCTTCAAAAATTTTTTCTTTTTTAATTAGTTGTCCATGTGCATATTACTAATTTATCCCCAAATTCTTCCCAAGTTATGACAGGTCTCTTAAATACAGTCAAACACATTAGCTTATATTGATTTCATCTTGAACAAATACTCCAAAGCCCTCTGAACTTCTTTTTCTCTACACCTCTTGCATGGCTGACACTTGGGGATTTTTTTTTGCCATTATCTTGGGGACTCCCCATTGCCTACTCCTGTGTTGGATCTGCTGTTCCCTGGATTCCATTTCTCTCTTGTTTTTCTCTCTCAGTGACATACATTCTCAAATGTGATTAATAATTTTTGAGATCTTTTAAGTTTGAAAATATCTTCATTTTACTATCCCACTTAATGGATAGTTTGTCTAAGTATAACATTGCTCAATTTCTTCTAGCTTTTTGGTATGCTTGTGTTGTCGGTGGAAATCAGACTTTTTCACAGGATTGCAAGAAAAGCATTTTATGGACCCATGCTTGTGAAATTGTGTTATGCCAAGGCTGCCCCTGGGTTTCCGATGTCCCATCTCCCTCCATCCGGCCATGGAAACGTCCAATCTTGTCTTCATCAAGGCCAAAACAAAGGCCAGTGTTCAGAGTTTCTGCTTCATATTAAAGCTCAGTCCTTTGGAACCCATATGGTCTGTGGGCCCCCATAGACCTGCTAGACCTGCTCCTAGGCAAGAGAGAGAATGTGCAAACGGGGTGAGTGCAGGTCACCAAGAGACAGAGCTTCTTTGTTCACCTGGGATCATAATCAGGAGCTTTTTCATAGTAACCAAGCAACTTCCCAAGCTTTTGTGGGCTTCTGAGGGGTCCACCTCCTACCCAATGATCTTTCCCAGGTTAGACAGACAGGCCTCTAAGGTCAAGCACCTCCCCCTGTGCCATTTTGACTATTACACATATCCTTATCTCCCCTGCTCCCCCCATAATTCTGTACCAGAGGGAAGGCTGCTCCCTACATGGGGGAAAGAGGGGTGCTCATCCCCTCGGAGGGACAGTGCTAGAGCTTCCTGGTCAAACAATCAGGCTCAGTGACCAATTCCCTCTGCTTTCTTCCTAATATCTACCTACCTATGGGAACACTTGGAAAAGTTACCTTTCTTACTCCTGATTCTTTGTATGAAAAACTTTCTTCTCTTTATAAAGTACTTTAAATATTCACTTTGTCCCAGTGATCTAAAATTGTGTGATGACGCATTTTGACATGAGTATATTTTCATCCATGCAACCTGAACATTCCATTCTTTGATTCTGAATTTTTTCTCTTGAGTTATTTCTTGAATGATGACTAAACTTCTGTTTTATGTCTTGTATTTTTCCTGAGTACCATTTTTTTCAGATGTTATACCTTCTGGAATAAATCATATATTTTCCTCTTCTAGTTTCATCTCTTTTTTTACATTTTCCTTCTGAATGATTTCCTCAGATTTCTCTTAAAACCCTCTCATTTAATGTTTCATTTATGCATTCATTTAAAATTTTTTCCTGCGTGGTTTGTGTTCTAATTTCTTATACATGGTTCTAGTTCCATTGATACAAATTCTTCTTTCATCTCTTGTACCAGTAGAATATTAATGATAGTTTTCTGGAATTTTCATATCTCTGCTGAGGCTGTATTTCTTGTTTTCTCATTCATTTTGGTCTCTGTGTTTCATGGTAAATGCTTCCCCAAATGTCACATTTAAGCTGGTATAGTAAAAAGCTCTGTGTATCTGGAGGGATGTTTCATGAACTTCAGTATAAGATCATCTGGTTGGGCCATTTCATACTCCAGTGTTAGTATTCATGGGTTCTTTCTCTCAGAATAATCAGATTGCCCAGAAAGTCCCCTCTAGCCTCCTGCGTAGGGGGTGTAAGTCTAGATCCCTGCATCCTGGAAGCTGTGTGAGGGGAAATACACTTTTATTCAATAACCCCTTTTCAGCGTGGCATCCGTTTTTCAACTCTGTTTGTGTTTTCCAATCTTGAGGTCTGCTGTTTTACCCTCTTTGAGAGAGAAAATAACATCCAAGAATCGGCCAGGATGTGGTAGTGGAGAGGTGGGGAGGGGAGGGTCTCCCTAATTTTTAAATATACTTCCACCAATCCTCCTGCTTTGAACCCCCTTCACAGAGGCCCTTAATGCCACCAAGCCTGGGGACTCTGCAGCTTTCTCTGCTGTTGCCTTATAATTCAGCTTTTCTGAATCTGCTAATTCAGGTCCCATTTGCTTTTATATTCTTCAAAACATTGTTTTTGCTTTCGCCCATATTTTTTAGCCTTGTGGGTGTCTGTCTTTATTTTTTTAGTCCCTAATCCATTGTTCAAATGGACTTTTGTGACAGAAGTAGAGGAAAATGCATGTATACAATAAATAACCTTTAGACCTTTTCAAAGTAAAATTACTCATTTGTCCTCACTGCACTTATTTTAATCATCTTTGTCCACTCTATCATCGCCTTCAAGTATGATTCAATACAATGTATGAAATAGCTACTAAGAGTCTGGCACTGTCCTGACTGTCATGGATATACAAATACAGGGAAAGAAATCTCCCCCTTGAGTAATTTTGCTGAGAATAATAAGCAGTTATTTTGAAGTACTCTGCTGAACTTAAATGAATCTTTCTGTTCTCAATTTTCCCATCTCCCTTTTGGTTGATTTAAAATTGCCAGTGTTTATAGTTTTTCCACATCTTCCAATGCCAACAGCATGACAATAGCCCCTTTGCTTTGATATTCAATGTATGCTTGTATTTTCCCTCCTATATTTATCCACTGCATCCCTACCATGCACTACCCTCAGTGGATCTTCTTGCTCCTTTTTGCACTTAATACGCACTTACCATGCAGCCAACATTTAAGAAAAGTCTGCTCTTTCCATCTTTACATCTGCAGTCTCTTTGTTCCATACAAAGATGAAGAGACATAATCCTTGCTTGATGGAACAACTTGCTTTAGTAGAAAGATGGATACATAGCCAATAATTTTAAGATAGCATGGCATGTGCACTAATAAATGCAATTAGAAATGACTTAGTTTTCAGGAAACTTCCTGCAGATGGTGGCAGTTGAGCTGTTTAGAAGGATGGTGAGGAATTGACAGGTGCTTTCTATGATATATTCTGGTTGTCAGTTATTCCCTCACGATGTTGTGAGCATAATAATGCAGGGCCAGTGTCTGGACACTGCTTGAATACTAAATGCCAAGAACTTGATGAATACTGAATGATACAAAGATAATAGAAGCAGCAATTTGGGTTAAGACTATATTGCTCTCCAAACTTTCCCTGAATTCAATAGATAAATAGGTAACTAAAACCTATAGTGGAACCTAACTCTCCTACACGATTTTGATTAGCTCACATTACAATTTTACTCTTTTCTAAAAAAAAACACAACATGTTTTTTTAAAAAAATCATATTTACTTTCCAAAATTTCCTGGCATGTGTCCACTAATTTGATTGGAAGATACTGAACTTGATAAAACCTTGTAAGATACTCAACTATTTTTCCTCTTCCAAAATAATTCAATTTTTTGAAGTTTGCAAAACACACAGAAAAATGTAGTGCTCTAACCCACAACTCAGAACTGACCTCAGTGAGAAGGTTGACAAATAACATGAGGAGATCCTGGTTCTCTGGGTTGATTCTGGGTTACTCGGGGAGAACTTGAGCGGGAAAGCCTGGCTTCTGGGTGAACGGGAGGCTTACAGACAGAAAAAGCCTGCTGAGGTTACTGGTTTATGAAGGAAATTGTTGATCTGGAATGAACTCACATCCATATTTATGCTGTATTTTAGGCAGACAACAGAAGGATCTATTGAGGATTTTTGAATTCACAAGTGCGACGCAGAAAAATGTGCTGCTATATTATTAATTTAAACACAGGTATCTTGAACAGTGGGGTTCTGATGCCAAATTTCAATTCCTCCTAGGAATTTTGGAGTATTGAGGGTGCTAAGAAAAATAGCTCTACTCAGCATTAGTCAGGATTTCTCTGTCTTGTACCACCTGGCCCTGATAATCCTCTTTTAAAGAGTTAATAAAAGTGCGTATGG